GACGAGCTGATCACCCGCCTAAGGAGTCCTATCGTATGTCTAAGCTCTAGAAAAAAACCAAAGTGAACGGCGAAGTTCATGGAGGTAGGCCTAGGCCCACTGGGGCTGTAGTGCCAAGGGGGAAAAAAATTATATACAAATAAATGCTCAAGCTAGAGTCATGTATTTATTATTATTATTATTATTATTATTATTATTATTATTATTATTATTAGAGGGCGTGGGTTTCCCCATGCACTTAGACCAGTTATAGAGTCATGTAAATAGAAGCCATTTTGAAACACTTTGTATAATAAAAAGGTAAAGTTTCGTGATAGATTATTATTGATTGCTAGGCTTCCTTGCTTACAGATGGAAGTATAACTAAACAGCTGCATAGGCACGGCCGAACTACGAGTAGCGGGCTCTTTAGTTATGACTAACGCTGCAGGGCGCTGCAGTACCGGCATACTGATAACCATAATATTGCACACGGTCCCTCAGTTTGTATGGAAATGAGCGATGGATGTCACACTGTCATGGCTATTAATATCCCGAGAAGGTAATGCAAGAGATGACCCAGCGGGGTGGCCTTCCCCGCGGAGAGCTGGAATGTCTTGAGCGTTCCCCGGTACACTCCCCTGCATATTCCAACAGAATGTACTGCACAGGAACGCCCACTGGTAGCGGCAATTGAATACGGCTAAGTCGGTAAATATGATTCGCTACCGACCGATCCTCTGAACAGGCCTGTCGGTATTCATGGTATATACTGAAACAATCAGAAAAATAACCCGGCCAGAAACACTAGCAGTACGATTGACCGCAAATATAGTCGCTGTACGCTTATTAACCGTATTAGGAAACAACGGACTGACAATTGCATCCTCGACACTATAACAGACATAATGGACGTTATAAAAATATATAAAAAAGAATATATTAGAAAAATACCACATATATAAAATTAGTAAATACAGATTACACATGAATGACAAATACATCGATACTTATAATTGGATATTGGAAAGAAACAAACTCCGTGGCTTTAGTCCGCAAGCTAACCATACCGACCGAGCGACCACCGCTTGTGGCGAAGTTAGTGCCAACTTTCTAGCCGATAGAGGGTGTCGCGCGGTCAGCGCAACGAATTCCCACAGCCGTTAATTTCGGTTTTTTAGACCGGAGGATATTGGAAACACTACATCAGATATCAGCATGAATGTCCCAGTCCCCTCTATAAAACAGAACCACATCCACAACACATACATAAGAACCACAATGCACACTAGACAGCCAACTGGCATACGAAAAATAACAATACATGTGGCTTAGAAAGAGGAGCTACATTGACTGCATTTTGAAATGTTATAAACACGAAAACTCAAGACTGCAATAGCGCGGAAGACACGACATTTCAACGCACCTGATGATGGCAGAGTACGCCGAAACGTGTAGTGCAGTGACGAATTTTAAAAAAGGATCTAATTTTAAATCATAATACGAGTATAGTTGCGTAGTGGAAGGTAAACAAAACCAAAAATTAATTTTATGGAAATATAATCAGAAGTAACTGGTACAGAATCTAAACACGTGATCCGGCTCTCCGTGGTAGACTGTACGTCGGACCCCCACCTGCGAGGATTCTCGTCCAGGACAGGCACCAGCTGCGATTCTGACAAATTGCCCGCAACGTGCGGAGACGTGATAAATAGGACAATGCCCGAGCCATCTTCCTCAGACGACATCTCTCTGTCATGGCCACCAAGAAGACACTCTCCCTCAAGGTGGTCTGACCGAGCTTGGACACATTCCCTTCGCGTTACTCATAAGCATCATTCTGTTCGTCTGTTTACTATTACTGGCGACTGAGTGTTACTTGTAAGGAATTCGACAGTACTTTGGTACAATACAGAAACCTAGGAGGGGGCACGCGGTTGCGTAGTTGATTGAATCAGTATGCTACAAGCCGGAGGGTCGCGGGTTCGATTCACGATTAGGTAATTTTTCAGGCTGATAACCTCACCGCCATCTGTGAGCCGATTGTATAGAAAATGTGGGAGCCTCGGCCTCTCAGAATTCTATGGGCTCCATGGCCTGTTATAAGGATATTTTTACCCTCTTTTGCCTTTATCTTTTACAAAAACACTGAGACTGAAGAGAGAACTGTTACAGTTCCCGTCAGAAAATATAGTTCGTAAATATTAACTATTCTTCTTCCTAATCGGCCCTGCAATCCTGTGTTGTTCTTGTTATCGTCCCTGGTTTCGTAACAGTAATTTTTTTCAGGATGGGGTCGCTAACACCACGCCCAACCCACAAGCTGGTAGGGACCAGTGATTGCACTTCATCAGCAAATACCCTTCCACCTGTCTGGTATGGGTGGCTCTGCCAGGAGCTGACGCTCCCGCCAGCATACCTCTCCAGGTTAGAGGGGCTCACAGACCTCCTCTCCACACTAAGATACAACGAAAATTTATAATTCAAAATATTTTACTTTGGTTGGTAACTGAATGAACGACAAGATATCGATTACCGTAATTGCGTTCAGCCAGGATACGGGTCTCACCTATCATTCTATCCAATGGGTACCGAGAACTCTTTCTTCTGGGGTAAAGAGGCCGATGTGTAAAGCAAATTAATGTCCTCCACTAGTTAGGAATATATAACCTGTGGAGATTTATGTTACATCCGCTTCTCCTATGTATCTTCGTGACGCGAAGGTTTGACACATGGAGCATCTTCACACTTTACGTCAGGGTTATCTAACTGCAACCCACTGAAGGCCCGCAATGTACCGTAGTTACATATCCGAGGGGCTTATTATAGAAAAAAAAATTTTTTTTTTCAATATAGCCCTATCGTTACAATATCCGCCCTAAAATCATCACGAATATGAATTAGATTGAAAAAGTTCAAAATATTTATTAAAACTAAACGTTGCCTAGTCGATGGTGCTTAACAATCAGCTATTCAAAATATTCTCGATTTTACTGATATTTTGTAAGATCTTTGAGTCAAATTAATTCTACACTTTTGCGGGTTATTTACTAAATATTTTATGAAATCAACTATAAAATTACTAAAAATATTTAGTAAGTACTTTTTGCAAAGTTTTCTTTGGACAAGGTGCGTCTTTTTTTTTTTAAGAGGGTTGAAGTGTTCATGCGCATTTTGGGAAACGGAGGGATATTGTAGATTCTAAATGCTTCTGGCGATGATGCATTACAGTCGGAATTACTGTGTTTTTAGACTAAAAACACTAGAGAACACAATGTTTCTGAAACAGATCCAGTTTCCCAAACGCCGTGTTCTCTAGTGTTTTTAGAATACCAGATGATGGACAAAGTAAAAAAAGCCGGTCATTCCGAGTGGAAGGATAAGAGTATTGTAGCTGTCCCCACAAAATCAACTGGCGGATCCCATGTAACTGGCCTGCAGCCTGTTGGACAGCCCTGCTTTACATTACTGTCAGAGTCTGTAATAAAGATACGGAAAGAAGAAGCAAGACAAGGGCTATAAATGTTTTGGGTGTCACCGATACTGATCCAGCAGAAACAAAGTCATCTGAGTGGTCTCGTAGACTGCCTACGTCACGAAACGACTGCGCCACTCGCTTGTCAATGGTGGCTCGAAAATCGACCCCCTTCAAAAGTCATTCTACTTCCAGTTTAGACCTGAATTAAATATAACTTAATTTAATGTAATGGCATGTTACAATGAAATGTAGGTAAACAGGGAATTCTAAGAAAATGCATTATACCCAATTCCCGCTGAATATTCCCGTTTAAATAGCAAAGCCATCTGAAACTTGGTCTACATTTCTGAAATATTTTCACTAATTTATACTTATAGTAAATAAAAACTGTTAAAACCCAACCATAGTAGTCCATGTTTTTCTCATGTTTGTAAAATTCAACGTACACACACACACACACACAAGTGGGAGCGATCTGGAGTATCGCTGCATCACATTTCAACTGTCTACATGCTACGACTACCTAATGAATTTTCGTCATGAAAGAAATGCGTAAATACACATTTCAAGTTGCCGCCGAATTATTACACTTAATTTCACACAAATAAAAAGGAAACAGAGGAATTGCTTTTGTTTTGAAAGATCTTCAGGAGCAAACACTGAACGGTGACCAATGAATTTCTACACCTATAGTGAAGCCGAGCAAAGAAATCTCACTGATCGTCCTCAACCCCGTCTACCTTCCGTTCCTACGCTCCCTTTACCAACTTTACGGTGTCCCAAATCTTTTACAGTATTGGCTGGGTTACTCGTTCTACAGTGTTCAGCGTGGGGCGCCAGCAGGCAGGCTAAGATTGTAGAGTGGGGGAACAGGCCATCCCTCCTACCAACTGTTGCTGCCACCGTCTGCAAGAATTCTTTGGCAGGCTAAACTATATCTGGCCTTATCATAAAAAAAACTCGATGACCTGTAGTCCGCAAGCGACAGCCGCTTGTCGACGAACTTTGTGCCAAATTTTGCGGAAAGAGGGTGTCGCGTGGTCAGCGCAACGGATCCCCACGGCCATCCATCTTGGTTTTCTAGACCGGAGCCGATACTTTTCTATTGAAGTAGCTCCTCAATTATCCTCACGAGGCTGAGTGGACTCCGTTCCAGACCCACTACTTCTCAGAATATCTCGTAGCGCCGGGAATCTAACCCGGGACCTCTTATCTGTAGCCAGGAACTCTGACCACTAGACCACAGAGGCGGTCCTTGGCCTTATCATGGTTTTATATAAATTATGTTTGCCTCTTAAATGTAGTTTATAAAATTTGGCCATGAGCTCCAGACGGGATACGACTCCAAGACGAAATGACTCACCGTCAGTCGTAACGCGACTTCGATTTTGCCTTGAAGAAGCTTGGAGCACAACCCAAACACGAGACTCTAGCATCCTTAAAATAAATGTTATCTCATTACATGTCGGCTTAGTACTGCTGTATCAGCAAACTCTACAGCTCTACAGCTCTACAGCCTTGGGGCACTGTTGGGTCTGCATGATGTGTACAAAGCACGCTGCGGTTACGACTAGTCAGGCTGAGTGCGCGCTGTTATGTGACCATATCGCAATGATATTCGCACATCGAAAAGTACTTGCAAGTCTATGATTGGCGAATATTTGAACTGATCACGTGTTCCTAGAGAACTGGTCCAATTATAATCGGAATTGCTATGATTCGAATGTTTCTGTTCGCACTATCAACGTAGATATGCAGAGGCAAACACTCTCGAATGGTGGACGTAGTCAAAGTCTTTACGCGTCTCTCATATATTCACGAAGCATCCGTGACAAAACGTGTTATAAAATCATAGTTATGTATCTTTAGTTCCTATTTAATCTATGAAACCAAACTGCTACGAATATGTGTGTATATGGGTGTTAATAAGAGTTAAATAACCACGAATACTAGGAGAATGTTGTGTTCCTATGCTTTCATTATCTTACTGGATATTATAAATAAATTTCATCTTCAGCTGAACTAGTTTCTGCTTATGAGAAAGAGCTCATCTCACCAGCGTTCTTAGAAGGGACGAAATGAGACAGCGCCATAGCTAACCAACAGCTGGCCTAGAGGGCCTAGAGCGCCTTGAGTACTAGAGGTAAGCCCAGAGCCAGTTACATATGAACTGATCTTCGGCACCCCATTACGTTGTGTTAAGCCTACGTGGCGTCATTGAATGCTGTACTTTTATATGATTGTGGAAAATTTCTTGTGCCTGAACACAAACCTGATATACTAATAACAACTAATATAAACATAACCTACTTAGCCTTAGTTCTGATAACTTAACAGTTGTCGTAACTTAGAAAAATCTGTTCAAGAAGAAATATAGACCTACAGTAATGCGTTAAAATCACGAAAATTATGAAGTAGTGCACCTGCATAATATGTGTATAGCCTGTTATTTGTGGGGCACTATAATGCTGCAATCTGGCTGGAGAGCAAAATATATACGGATTCAGTTTCCATAACGATTGTAGTTAACCCTGCTGTTAGTACAGTGACATGATATGACTACCTTACTCTGGTAGAACAGTGCTCTGTTTGGGATATTTGTTGAGAAGCTACTTTATGGGGTTACGTTGCTGAATAAAGCTATCGCTGATTATAGCTGCCATTATTCAGAACAGAAACCTGTCCTATATACTTGAAACTTCACGTCTCGATAAAATTTGCAAGGTTCTAGCTGCCACCTACGATCAGCATTGTAATTTATGAACTACGTGCAAAATGAATAAAGTTGAATGAACACACCTTGCCTTTCAGCGTCGACATATTCGTAAGTCTGAGCTCATCCTTTCTGATGAAAGTCGTGTGAAATTATTGGTGACATATCTTTCATGGATTTCGTGGGAACGACTCTGACATGGATGTAAAACCGACTCAGCCTCTAACACAAGTCGTCCTGGGGCATAAATGGCGGCCGGTGCCTAAGACTGACAATCTTAACGCCATCTGTGAGCGGATTGTCTAGATAAACTCCATAATTTGTATTTTCATAATAATTCAGTGTTATTAGAAAATAACCTCAATGTACTCCGTAGTCTTGAAATGTTAGGTCGTAACTGCTAGAAAATGGTGGAAATATAAATGTGTCGCTTTCAATGATAAAAAGTGGCACAAAAATGGCTACAAAATTACATCGAAGAGATTTAATAATAATAATGATGATGATGATGATAATTCAATTCAATTCCATTCATGTATATTTACGTGCAATAATGATGATGATGATGATGATAATAATAATAATAATAATAAGCAATCATCTCTTTTCTAAAGGTCTGGTGGTGAAATATGGAAAATAAATTACTATGATCTTTACACAGTATCTAATTATTAATGTATATTATTAAACTTGTAATTTGATTACTTTTAATATGTACATAATGGTGCCATATAACCCGGAAATCTAAAATGGATAAAAACTATCAGTTCTACATCTTAACATATCACATAGTAAATTAGGAATTATAAAATTTATGTAAAGCAACGGATTTGTCGTGACTCTTAAACGTCCTCAAAACAAGCACATGTGAACTTTTAAATAAACTGTTCCTTTTAAAATATCCCAAATGCCTAAGTTCTCGTCTCTTAAAAAAGTGCCAAAATGTTCACGAAATTTGCAGCAATTGATTTTTCGTCATAATGGACATTGTATACAGTGCTTATATATTTCCTAATGATGTACTATAATATTTAAGTCGAAATTATAATCCCAGAATTTAGCAAATTCTTAGAGGAATCGTAATGAACATTTCATTATTATTTCAAGCAATGAAACTTGTGGGACCGTATCAGCACTTCCTGTTTAATAAGCAGACAAGCGCGAAGTGTTCTTTTTTTATGTTTTAGGTGTCGCGTAATTCAAACCAATTAGTATAAAACTACGGATACTTGAAAATTATCTTATGAACCAAACTCACAGTACTGCAAGCTGTTGTATCACCCGCAAAGTTAAAAACAATTACTGGAGAAGCACATCACACTTTCCCTCCCTCAGAACGGAAACCTCTCTGACGTAAATGAACGAGTTATCGTACTTAGAAAAGGAGCCAATTTCAGTTTGTCTTAAAGATATCGATAGTGCCCCTTACATTGCCCGGGTAGTATCTTAAATTAGGCATTACTGCTACCTTCCACAACCATTCCAACTTCCGATTCAGTCATCTGATCATTGTCGCTATATAATCGGAGTTACTATCGATATTAAATAAACTGCAAGTAAATAGCGTACAAATCAAGAGGGAAAATATCGAAGGCCATCTAGTCGCCAGTGGGATCTTATACTGAAACAAGTCTGAGAGTGAAGAGAATCAGAACAAGTGAATGATGAACCGTGGTGCAGGCTTACAACCCCCCAGTCTCCCTCTGTAGCCTTCACTACTACAAGCCTTACATGCAGTTATGAACCATCAGTATGTTTGGAAAGTAAATAATTTTCAGCATTAAATTAAATTCTTTGTTTTTGTTTTTCATCCATCATCCGGTATTCTAAAGATGTTAAAAAACTTAGTAATCCCGGCTGTTATACTCGTATATCATCGTCAGAACTCCGTACATTTGATAAAATGAACAGTCTGTAAGAATGTATGTTTGTCAGCATATAGACATACCAAGGCTCAACTATTCTCCTACAAGATTTAATGGGTTCCACATAAAAAAAAAACAAGCTGAGCTGCATATAGAAGTAGTCTGAGGGCTTAGAAACCGAAAGGCGATTGAATAATTTTCATTAAATAAGGCAGTAAGGTTATGGTAGTCTCAGAGAGATTAGGCTTCGTTTCCTTTACATATATTAAAACAGATTTATTTGCTTATTATAGCCTATAACACGTTTAGTTTACTGGCAATTAATGGTCATGGTATGGACAAAAATTTCACAGAAATTAATTTCCAGTTAACAAATAAAAACGAAGGGGCTGTTACAGTGCCACCCTAGACGATGGCTCTTCTCAACTATACCTTCATGCTGGCGTGCTGGCTGTCTTGTACCTTCGTATAAAAATGCAAAGGCCTGTTCCTTCCTTAGAATTCTTTAATAAACAAGGAGCAAGTGGGATGAATATAGTCAATATGGACAATCTACGTGTAGGAATGAAACTATCATTCATGTATTTAAATTCTTATACATATAAGACAAAGTGAGGCCCTTATATTCTAGGTCAAATTTACCATTGCAGGTATTGCAATTGAATTAAAATGGCTATTAAAAGGAAGAGGGTGAAAGTTGTGGACTGAAGTGGAAGGTAATGAATATATGAGTTCTGTAGAGGTTAGGAGATTTCCCTATTAGCTGAGTGGCTGCTAATTTCTCAAAAACAACTTTGCTCCATGGGGTTAGATTATGTTCATTTAGGCCCTTATTTTAATCGAAAGGTGCTTGGTTCGAATCTCAGTCAGGACTGAGGGTACCTTGACTGAGACTTTTTGTAGTTTTCCTCAGTCACAAGAAAATTCTGGGATAGTATCTTGCCTAGGACATTACAGCACCTTTCTAAATCTTTCCAGTCCATCACTCTTAAATTTTCCTACCATTCAGTACTAAATAGTCTAGGTACTGAAAGCTTCATAAAATAAACCACAAAGAGAAAAAAATAAATACCAAAACCAAAATAGTTTTATGAAATATGGTGTAGATCTGCCATACAAGGTTTTATTGAAATCAGTCAAGTAATATGAACACTATTGCTGCCAGATGCACAGAGACACATAATGACATTTGTATGTGAATTTTTAATTTTTCTTGCTTGTATGCTCCTTAAAAGACCTGAGTTGATCCTAACCTCCAGCTCCTATTGTCATTAAATTAATTTTTATTGACAGCGACAAGATTTCTCATTCATCTGAGTATGTGTTACTTCGTAGCTAGGCAACTGTTGCCATTAGTAACCATTTGTTTATTTACATTCAGAGATATCTTCTGTACTGAAATAAAGAAGCAATCAGTGAAAAAGTACCGATTAAGTACTTCTTGTTGAGACATAACTGTAACATTTATTTTGCAACTCAGAACTATGTATTCTGTATTCATTGATCTTCCAGAAAAAGATTGCAGCACTGGAAAACTGGAAAGAAAGGAAGCACTTGTGATACACAAATCAGAATGGGACAGGATCAGAGCACAAACACAATTACTGCAAAAGGATGAGGAATATAGTGAACAGCAGCATATGTTACAAGAAAAATTAAAAGAGAAATCAAAATTAATGATAAAAGATTGGGAAAATACATTGCAGGTAAGGAAGTACAAAACTTGGATATGTTTTCAAAGGGGGATAAAAATATGAGGACATTTTTAAGGTTGTGGCATAACCAATTTCATTTGGGGTGGGAGGTTATGTCATAACACCTTCTCCTTCTAAAATACTGCATGATTATCTTCAGTGGTTACTGATGTGGAATCTTACCATTCCATCGTATTGTCTTCACAAAAATGCACTGCATGATGTTAATTTAAAAAACGACAATAAGGAATGTTATTATGTTTAAATTACCGAATCATATACAGATAATATAATATTGTGTGCTGATGATATAGAATACGATAACCCAGAAGTGTGATGTGCTGCTGATCCAGAATACCTCATTTCTAAGTATCAATATACACCTCGCATATTTAAATTCATAAAATATAATTATCAGTTCTGTTAAGTGATGGTAAACGGTAAAGTTGTCCGTCTTTAATACAGCATCAAACTGCACATGTATGGGGACTGGAAGTATAGCTGCAAGTATTCTTAAACTTGGCACTAGATTGAGGTGAGTGATTACGTTAATGCTCAGGCTACTTTAATCCTCATGAAAGAGCCCCAGGATATCATTAGATAGGAGGCTGGTTGGGCCCAAGATCCAGTCTAAATACAGTTGGGTCTGCAGAGAATTGAACCCTGGTCTTCCAGGCTGTAGCCAGTTAGTATAATAACTAAGCTATCCTGGCTGTCTTGCCATTTATCCAACAAAATCTTAATTTTTGTTATAAATACATTTACAGAATTGAGGCTCTACCCCAGCCATGTCAAACATGCGGCCCCCATAGCCACAAAGTGCGGTTCCTCAACTTTTAGAGCTAATTGATATTAAAATCAATATTAAAATGTTAATAGAAATATTTTTTGTAAAGACAATTTTCCAACAGACCAGAAGACAAGAAGTAGTATCACGCAGACATAAATTAGCAGGATGCAGGAAATTCAATGTTTTGCTATTTCTAACATCATTTCTTGTGTAATCTCTCTTTTTACATATTGAAAAGCTGTTTGATACTTGTCAAAAATGGCATTCTCTTGCTTTTTAAAACTGTAAGATATGTGACTTAGGTAATTATATTGAAATTATTCCTAAATAATAAATAGAATTAAATTTCCTTGTATCAAAATCTAATGTATATTTCTATTTTGAAGTGTGGCCCTGGACTATTATAGGGCTGAGGTGGCCCTCTATACAAGTTGAGTTTGACATGCCTGCTTTACCCTATTATACACATACATCTTTGAGAAAAGAAACCTTAAGCCACTTTCCTCTGGAATCAGCTGGTTAACTTTAATGACATAGAAACCCAATCTTAATCTATAACGTTAGCAATAATAATTACAAGTCACGTTAATAGAAGTAAATATCTCCCACAGAATATGCAAGAACGAAGGTTAGCAGCTAGTAAAGCAAGACTTGAAGCTATTGAGAAGAGGAGGATTGATGCCCAAAAAGCATTTAGAAAGGAGCAAGAAGCAGAGAGAAGAGAGTATCTTAAGAAGTGTCAAAAATCCCTGTTTTACAACCAGGACAACGTTAAAGTCCTGAATCAAGGCCTCAGATTTTCAGAGGTACTCCAATAAAAAAATACATAGTATTTCACATGGGAGAAAACAGGATGTAAAAAGAAAATAAAGCTATCCCTGTAGCATGCTTAGGAGGCCCACAAGGTAGTGAGATGTTGAAGCTGCCCCATTTTCTAGACAGTTGGTTCACAGATGGTGGTAAGAGTGTCAGCCTTACATGATGGCTGGCCCTTTACCCCCAGGAAGATTCCTGGTACTCATTTCTCTTAGAGGCTGAGTTGGCCCAAAAGCCATAGTGCAGCTGGAAAGGTTAGGTCAACTGAAAAATCCAATGACCTCATCAGGAATCGAACCTGCAACCTTCTTTCTTATAGCATAGTGCCTCAATCAAGTATGCTACCATGTGCCCTGACAGCATATAGAAGGCAGTGAAAAATTATGATGGAATGGTATGAGAAACTCTTGAAAATTTGGAGAAGACACAAGATGATTGGTTTCAACATGAGTTTAGCATAAAATAATACGATTCAGTACTTTTGATTTGCAAAGATAATTATCATAATAAGGAGGATGGTGGATTAGCAGTTTACTAATGGAGAGACTGGAAAAATCTTTGACTGCTCACTCCCCCTTGTTTCATTGTTATCATAAGTAACAGTTTGTATGAAATACAGAAGGGATTGTTTTGGCCCTTCCATTTAATCTTGTCTCACTTCAAAAACTGAAAATACAGATACTTAAGGTTTTGTGGATAAATTACTTAGAACTGAATCCATGATGCAAAGTTTACCTTGGATAATTTGGTAGTTAAGCTGACCAGTAAATTCCAGTTGTTGTTGAACCAAAAGGCATTCTTTTGAGTCTTACCATTGAAATACTAATAGAAAATGATACCTGTTCCACATTCATGGATTGTATTTGTTACTACAACCACTAGATATTTTGAACAATGGAAACTGCCCATGTGCAAACGCATCAGCCATTTGTTCTCTCTCATCCCAAGATCATCACTCATGTGCACACCATCTAGCAGTTCGCATCTGAGATATAACACATTCTGTGTTCACAAAGAGTACATTGGACCTCTTTGTAAGGCAGATCAACCCAGATGACATCCTCAAAAACTATTCCTCCAAGATGTATTTTAATAGCCCATCTACAAATAATCTCCAAAAATTATTTTTTCCTTCTATGTCTCCAAACAATTTTTGAAATATTCCTTGTCTCCCCATGTATGCTACATGCCTAGCCCATGTTGTTATTTTGCGTGATTTAGTACCACTAGTATAGTATAATAAATACAAATAAGTAAAAATAACAAATTACAGATCCTAAGAGTACGAGAGGCACAGATTAAATACAATGAGAAATTAAAGGCACTGGAAGAGAAGAAAAAAGAGGAATATGCAGAGAAATGTAAAGAAGATGTAGAACGATATAAGAAAGAGAAACAACTAGAAGAGAGGAAGAGGACTGAAAAGATGAACAAGAATAAAGAAGATTTACTAGCACAGTAAGTCTTTGTGAAACATACAGGTTCCATCTTAAATTATGTACTATTTTTGAGCAATTATTTCAAAGAGATTTTAAATAGGTTCGGAGGATTATTCCTCGGTTTATTCAACTATTCATATTATGAAATTATGTTAACAAGTAAAAGGGCAAATAACTATTTGGTAATGTATTTTCCATAGAATCAAAGAAAAAAAATGGATAAAAGTGGAAGAGGAGCAGAGAAAACAACAGGAGAGAGAAGCTCTAATAAACATGAGAAAAGAAATTGAAATGGCAGAGAAATCTGCAGAAGATGAGGTGAGATGAAATATGAAATATATTTAAATTAAAGTAGTAAATGATGACATTCAATTTAAATTTAATTTCATGGTGCCAAGGGTAAATAAAAAAAACTGATTACTGTTATTAACATAAACAAATTTAATTCTACTAGATTTCAGGTTGTAGGAGGAACGTTGGGTCAGTTACATATGCTGATGCTCTGAGACCCATAAAAATCAACTGTGAAACTTTGTTGCTTAATCACACTTTAAACTTTCAGATTGTTAAGAAGAAGGAAACTTTCAGACAACAGATCAAGGATTTTCTGGACAAAGAGAAAGAGTTCAAAGAAACAAAGAAACATGAAGAAGAGCTAGAACAGAAACTTATTGAAATATATGGAAGGTCCAAACGAAAAATTGAAAAAATGCAGAAAGATAAAGTAGAGGAAGTAAGCAATTACACATTTATTTTCAGTTTCTTAATGCTATTATGTAGTACTTAAAAATGGAAGATAAGCTTGTAATATGTACCATACAAAATTGCAGATTACCTTAAAAATGTGTCATTTCTTGGGCAGTCACTATAAATATTGTCATCTATTTTCTACAGCTTATAAATGATTCACTAAGCAGGAAAGAAAAAGTCAGAGATTATCTAGCTCAGCTCATACAGAAAAAGGAAGATGATGACAATGCAATAATAGAGAGAGCAGCCGCAGAAAAGAAGGCAATGTAAGATATTATATTAATTCAAAGTCATGGAATATAAGCCACTCTTTTGACACTTTACACAGTACCACCATTTTAATTTCTTGTCCACTTCATGCTGAAATCACAATTATCCATTTAAGGAGATGTAATAATTTCACTTACACCTGACATGTTAAAAGTTTAACAATTGGTGAAATGACTCCATGATTATTCATTTCCATGATATGATACTATAAAACTGACTTTAAAAAGATATTATTTGTATATAAGATTTTTAACCACCATCCAGTGTGATTGATAAAAGTTGTGTTTTTAATTTTTCATCCTTCACATGTTTCGGTCAAAAAAACCATCTTCAGAAGGATATTATCAACACATAATGGAAACTACTATTACCATATCATAGATATAAATATTATACCTTTTAGTTAATACTAAGATGTACATTGATTTGTTAAAAAATAAAACATTTTTAGAATAATTCTATTTACAAAGTAATGTGAAATTTTTTCTAATCTAGAACTAATTTTTTTTTGTGTTGTTACACTTCTTCTACACATTTATCAATTTACACTGGACAGTGGTTAAAAATCTTATATATAATTACTAGTGTGACCCACCAGGATGAACCAAGTTAAGTCCATTTATTTGATTAACACATTTTCTTCATTTATTCTGAAATATAGAGCAGAGGAGAAGAGACTGAAGAAACTAGAACATGAGAAGTACTTAAAAGAGGAAATGATAAAATCTTATAAAGAATTCTTGAAACAGGAGGCACAATCCAAGAAACACAAACAAGAATTAAGGAAACTGGAAATAATACAGAGATTAAAGGAGAATGAAGCCAACCAAAAAATTTACAAAGAGAGCTATGAGAAGAACATTAAAGATGCAGAAGAAACCCAAAACAGTTATGAAAAACAAATTGTAAGTTACGTTTATGTATTGGAATCTTTATGTGCTGCATACATGTGTACAAAACTGCTGATGGAAGTACAAGTACGAAAAGTCCTTGCAATTCAGAAGCCTTTTGGTATGGAGGTACTACAGCTTGCAGATGAGAACTGGACACCCAAGGCTTCTTTCCTTCGTGATTTACAATTCTGAAGGAATTTTAAATTGTCACTTTGACACCCTTGTGCTGAATCCTGGGTGGCTGTGTATCTATTTTTGATGTAATCATGACTGCGAACATAATGTTCTTTTTTCTTCTTCAATTGATCTCTATCATCATATAAATATATATATCTCTGACAATAAGGAAACAGACCTTGGTTCTGAATGTATTGTTTTAGCTGTGCCTGAAATGTGGGAAACTAACTCCATTGAGCTCATAGTCATTAATCTGGTCAAGAAGTTTCTCATTGTTTATGAAGCCCAAAGGTTTATTAGTCCATTCACAAAAGCCTACCACAGGGTCTTACCCTGAATAAGTTAAACTGGGTTTATACTCTCATATTCTGTTTCTTTAAGATCCAATTTAATACATCTTCCCATGTATACTTAGATCATCTTTCACATGAAATGACTGTGTTTGGACAACGAAGGGACTTGTAAAATTAAATGAAGAGGAAATGGGGTAAACACAGGATAAACTGCTCTAGTACAAATTTGTTGTTTTATAATCCCATTGTATGAGCTAGGATAGCATAGTCGGTGTAGTGACTGGCTACAGGCTGGACAATCAAGGGGTCAGAGTTTTGGTCCCAGTAGGGTCAAGAATTTTCCCTTCTCCACATTATCCAGACCACCTCTGGATGCCAGCCAGCCTCCTATTCAGTGGGGGCAGGGGGCTCTTTCCCGGGATTAAAGCAGCAAGGGCCTGAAGCTGACCACTCCCAGTTAGTGCCAAGGTCAAGAAAATGTGGATCTGTATATCCACTTCCCCATATGCCTTCATAGCCTAATGCTTAATTAGTTAAGTACATGAACAACTTTACCTTTTTTTTACAGGATGATTGAAATGTAACTCTCTAGTTTGATTTTCTGATAAATACCGGAAGAATAATGTAAAAGTGAAATGATTTTCAGGCAATGGAAGTTTATTTTATGCCACTTAATATGACATACCTCACAGCCTGGTGTATTTGTTCCTTTTCGCCTATATTTCCAACTGACATCTCTGGGCCCCAGTGGTGTTACACTTCATGCACTGGCCTACTAGCACAACCTAATACTTGTCAGTTAGAAGGACACAACATGGCATATCACTTGTCTGTGAGTGAATATGCAAAAACTGCATCATCCTTTGAAGTGTGGGATTTCACTGAGCAAGTTCAAGAGTGGTGGATGGGAGCGAGGGAGGCACACCACTCTTGACCAAAGACTATCAGAAATTGTAATACAAAGATGATGATGACAGGGTAAACTTTATATGTTAAGTGAAGTGACCAGCTGTCACAGAGTGGGAGATCACAAAAACATAATTTTTGTGCAAGACAGGGCACCACCTCACTTTGTTATTCCAGTACATCAGTGGCTAGATAGATACTTCCAGGGAAATGGCTTAACATCTGAAACAATGTTTAGTGAGAAGCCTTGACTTACCATCATTTGAGGATGGTGAAAGGGGAAGAGATTAATTTAAGAGAAATTTCAAGAGCTTTGAATTTCTGCATGACTTCCTGCATACAACAACTGGGCAGTGTCAAAGTTACGCTGTGTAAATGTGTTGAAAATGCAGGTGGACGTGTAGAAGTGAGAGGTATGCTACATTAAGTGGCATAAAATAAAATACCATATTATGAATATGGCTGAGCCCTTCTGGAGGAGCCGCTAATTCTGCAGCTACTCAAGAATTTCCCAGCATTTTATGGAACCTGAAGGTTCATTACCGTGTTCACAAGAGCCCTCCCCTGGTCCCTATCCTGAGCCACTTGGTCTTCCCAGTGGTCTCTTTCCTTCTGGCTTTCCCACCAATATCCTATACACATTCGTCTCCCTAATTCGTGCTACATGCCCTGCCCACCTCATCCTCCTTGACTTGATCATTCTAATTATACTTGGAGAAGAGTACAAGTTAAGAAGCTCCTCATTATGCAGTTTTCTCCAACCTCCTGTCACTTCATCTCTCTTCAGTCCAAATATTCTCCTCAACACCCTGTTCTCAAACACTCTCAGTCTATGTTCCTCCCTTAACGTCAGAGACCAAGTTTCACACCCATACAGGCCCACATATTCTAATTTTTATGTCTTTGGACAGCAGACGAGAAGACAAAAGGTTCTGGATTGAATGGTAGCAAGCATTACCTGAGTTCAATCTCCCCTTAATTTCCTCCTGAATCAGGTTTCGAGCTGTTATCATTGTTCCCAAATATCTGAATTGTGCCATATTTTCAAAACATCTGTTTCCTATCTTTATATCATGATTTTGCCCTGCATTTTGGTGACGAGACAGCAACATATACTTAGTTTTCTCAGTGTTTACTTCTAAACCAACCTCTCTACTTGCGACAAGTAAAGTTTGTGTGTTTTTCCTTATGGTATCTACATTATCACCCAGTCGATTCATTCATCGGCATAGGCCAACAGCTAATGTGTCCCATTTAATTTCAGTCCCACCTGGTTTCCCTGGACCTTCCTAATGACATATTCTAAAGCAAAGTTGAAAAGGAGTGGCGATAAAGCATCTCCTTGTTTTAGACCATTCTGGATAGGAAATTTATGACAAATGTTTACCTACACGGACTTTACTATTTCATTTAAACACATTTTAATCAACCTAACTAGTTTCATTGGTATCCCAAACTTTATCAGAATATCATATTCTGAATTCTCTTTCATTTTCCATCATTCTTCTCATATATACATAGGTCATACCGAAAGTCATGAGCAACTTTTTTTTACATGCAACCTGGGAACAGCAGACGAAAGAGAGTACGGTGGTAGGTGGAACCAGCTGTTGTGTTCAACCTTGAGTGTCTTGTGACGTCAATAGCTTGCATCAAGTGACCAGCATCACTCCTAACAAAATGGCTGACGATATGTTGTTTCGCCAGCGTGCTGTCATCGAATTGCTTGTGAATGAGGAAATCCCTGCTGCAGAAATTCACCAGAGACTTCAGCATGCTTATGGAAGTGTGTGCATGCTCTGTATTGTGACAGGTGACGAAACCTGGTTTCACCATTTCGAGCCTGAAACGAAACGGCAGAGTATGGAATGGCACCATTTTCATTCTCCATCAAAAAAGAAGGCAAAGACAGTGCCATCAGCTTGCGAAGGTGATGGGCACAGTCTTCTGGGGTGCAGATGGGTTTATTCTGGCCGAATTCCTGGAACCTGGGCAAACCATCAATGCTGCTCGTTATGTCCAGACGCTGCAGAAGCTCCATCGTGCATTGCNAATCAGTGACTTACTTCTCAAAGTCATGGAATGAACATGTAACAGAATTTCTAAGTACTGCGTATGTTGTAAATTAAAAAAAAAAATCAGGAACACAAATGTAATTTAATCTCGTTATATTGAAAGCATTCTATTTCAATTCTGCAGAAAGAAAAGGAGGAGGTTATTAGGAAAGACCGTGAAGAAGAAAAGAAAGCTCTCAGACAGACATTGAAAGTGTATGATGAAGATAAGAAGGCTTTCTTCGATTATGCTGATGAAATTATAGATGAGTCAAAAAAGAAAGGGCGTAATCTGTATCCAATATTGCGTGCCATACAGGTGAGTTACAAAACTGAATACTGAGAAAGAAAATACAGCACTGATAAATGATGTGACAGTAAGTAGACCACTGACCTGGAACCAAACATCTGGAAAGAACTTTGCACAGAATTTAGGTATTTCCTCCCTCATACTTTTCAGTTTTGTCCCTTTTAGCCCAGTGAGAAGAGTGTAATTTTAGTAAAGCATTACATGGTATATAATATGGTGTATTTAATTAAAAATGGAAGTGGATTTCTTCCCATAGTTTTCTAACCAAGTAATTAAATAATTAACAAAACAAATTTCACATGACTTATTTTGAGCAACCTTTAGTTTTTCTGTTAGTTGTCATGAAATTCTCTGGTTCATGAAATTTAAATAACTAACAAAACTAACTATTATCGTACAAGATCTTTTTTGAAATTTTGATAGTTACTCAACTTGCCAAGGGATTGCTCAGTTTCACTGAACCATAAGAATTACCACTGAACTGACACATGTGCTCTATGCCTAGGTCTTCAAAATTATCTTCTCTCTTGGAGATTTCAAACCAAAGTATTGTATGCGTTTCTGGAATTCCTCATGCAACCTACATACCTGCCCATCTCATCCTTCTTTACAGAGGATTATAGGATTGTACAAGTATTAGTGACTAGAACTATTTTTTCAAATTAACTGACTGTTAGTGTAACAAACATTACAGATATTTAAACACTACTTTAAAGATGGCAATCTTCTGCAAATTATTTTGTTTTTAACAGAACTTAATTAAATTGTTATTTCTGTATCACATGTGGGAGTCTGGGGATTAAGTGATTTCAGTGATCTGCATCTGAAAACCAAGAACCACTTTGAAAAAGAGATCTCAGGTATTTTCTCCAGTAAACAGTAAATCTGAAAGAATTCCATACACTTTAGTTAGTCACTATAATAATATAATTAGTGAATTTCAGTGCTTTTATTATTAAATTCTACCACTGGATGTGCAGTCACCTCTATTGAAGCCAGTATTACATCTGAAGTCAAATATGTTATCTTGTTTCTGTCAATATATAATTTCATTAATTTATAAATGAAAACTTATGGTCTCCCTCCCCATATACAGGCATACAGTGGAACACCTATTTATGGTTCCTTGATTTAAAGTGTTCCATCATTTAACTATAACTATTAAGATCCCTAGTGAATTAAATCAGTGTTAAATTGTCTCCATTTAAGATTTGACCCAGTTTCTTGTTCATATCCCTGCTCGTCAAAGAAACCTTAAAAAGGTTTCATTCTGTACACATATATCCATTCACTTGGTATTTCAAATGTCAGAAGGTACACAAATCCATACATAATCACCTAAAAATATCCGCTTCAGTGCAGATGCAAGGCATGTTACTTTACAACACTGTGTAACCGTACGTCCCGCGCAAAAATTATTTAATTAAGGGCGTGACCAATTTATGCATTGTTTCACGCCCTGAGAGATGCTCCTCCGGCGAGATACTATCCTGCGAACGTCTAGTTGTAATTCAACTATTGTCTTGCTTAGGCTTAGGGTGCCACTATTGTCCCTAATGTCGCCAGTTTGCTCCTAGTGTCATAAACCCATGGGCTGACATTGTGCGAGACCAGCCAGGAGGGGTCTTGGGTTCCCTGCTCACGTGCCTTGAAGACCTAAAAAGCTTTATGTTGGGCATCTCGAAAAATACGAATGGAGGACAGATGCCAGGCTTGACCCTCGGCTTTCTCTTGTTATTTTTCTTGTTTTGTTTTATGCCCAGTGGGGGACTTGTAAAGAGAGGGCAGTCAGTTATAGGGAGTGGAGGAGGATGGTTGGTTAAACGTAGACAGAAATCAGAGAAGTGTTTTACAGTAGGGGTAGCGAGTAGGATGGATGGAGCGGCTAGCTTGGAGGACTAACTTGAAGATTGATCACTGTACGAAATTTTAAATTAAAACTGCAATACATGGTGTGTTCTGGAGACCTCGTAATTCATGAATCCCGAAGTGTGTTCGACTCCCATATCTGAAGCACCCATATCCCTGAGATAAAGAAGTCATCTCGAGCAAGAGTTGTGGCAGCTGTATGTCAGCGGCCAGCTATAGCTGTAACCAAGTCATAATATTTAATAAGAACTCTTCAGTTTCCACCAACTGTCCAGTGGAATGGGCACTCTTGCCTGGATGCCTGAAATCATATTCATGTAGATGTGTCTGGAGTTTTCTTTTCATCATGACATCCAGAATAGCTCTGGGATCCAGCAAGCCTTCTACCCAGTCAGTACCAAGTATTTTTGCCAGCAGTAAAGTGGGCTGAGCAAAGCTGACCACTCAACTCCACTTAGTGCTTAGGTGAAATTGAAACTCCTATATGCTTTGACATTGGAGGTTTGGTATGTAACATAGCTTGTAGCTATATAATAGAAACAGAATAAACAAACTGAGCTTCCTACAGTCCTGTTTAGAGGCAAATAGTCAGGGTCACATGAGAGCACATGAACAGGGAACTAAAGAAATATGCAGTATCAAGTATATAAATTAAATCACCTAATTACAATTTATATTTTCATAACTTTTCTCCTAAAGACCCATACTGGCAATACTTATGTTCAGCTTCAGAAAATATGAGACATTCATTATTGGGGGTACAGGCACCTGCATTTTTCTTTTGCAGCTTTGCAACATGAAATAACATTGAGACTATTATAATTAGCATGAATGTTCTCAGGGAAGTGTGAAAGCTTGTGCTATTTCTGACCCTTCTTTTCATACCTCATATTATACCATAATCCATACATTATATAATATATATAATCTGTCTGAAGGTAAACTGTAAGGTAATGTTAATACTTTTCAGGATTATAAGAAGAAAAGTGGCCTCACCAGAAGTCAGAAGAATCCAGCTATGACAGAATCCAAGATAACATTTGGTCCACAAGCAGAGAAAACACAACCTTGATCCTGGGGATACCGTGTACCATTTGCAATGCAGAAATAATTACCGAGAAATTCTAAAGTGAAGTCATAAAATCTGTTAACAATTTCACATTTATACATTTATGATTCTTATACATACCTTACATGTTATGCCTGATGTCTGACATAACAGTCTGTTCAGAATTCTAAGAATGCTTCTAATATCACAAAAGAGAATTTAGTTAGGAATTAAAAGGAACTGTTGAAACCATTAAAGAAATCAGAGAACATAAAATACTTTAAGAATAATGTATTTCTTTTAAGTCACAATTTATAAGTAAAAAATGAGAAATAGAAAACTGAGCAGTATCTTCAGATTGAAATACAATACTGTCAGATTTACGCTGTTACCATTGTACATCAATGTCCTTCAATGTTGAAACATTCAAAATAAAATATATCATACAGACACACTTTAAACTGAGAACTGTTCTCACTCAGTCCCATTAATTAATTAATTAATGTTGACAGTTGTATAATACTACTACAGAGTAATATACAACACAAATAATAATGAATATTCTTTACATTTAGGTAACAGCAACATCAGTAAACTACGAGGAACTTAGATGAATGGGTGTGCAGGAACAAAATCCTATTTTACAGGACATAAGACAAAACTGTTTCCTTTTCTATAAGTCAACAGACTAGAATACTGCATTGCATTCTTGTTATTTGAAACATTTCTGCCACTATAAAATATACGCTCATTCATATTTAAAGTAGGAATTGGAACCAACCTGGGTAATGTGAAAAACCACTCTGGTTAACCTTAAGTGATTCAAACCGATGTTTCAGTTGGTTCAAGTCTATATGAACTTGAGCTAAACCTAACATGTTAATAATCATTAGAACAAATCACTTTCTTGTAGTCCTATATCCATCAGCTGAAGTCCACACAGCCTTGAATTTGGCAAGATTTTTATCAGAATCTACAGGCAATCACAGTACTGTGAAAAGAACCAAAACCAATATTTAACTAAACCTGAAACAAACTTGGTTGGTAATAAAAATCTGAAACCTGCCATATCATTTTTAGAAAAATGATGCTGCCAACTAAATCAATTAACTTTTTGTATTTCAGATGTTACACAAAGAACAAGAACCACTGTCTGCATTCTGAAAGCAGATGTGTACACACAATCATGCATATACATTTTTAGGAATAAGGTAACCCTAGCTTTGGTCTGAGTAAAGTTTCTAACTTACAGAATCTGGATATCACATCAAGGAACATTACACCTCCTTTGTGAAAGAGAAGATAATGATTCTTAATACAATCCACAGCTGATAAAGCTTTCCCTTTTTAGGTTATGTAAAAGAAGTGTCCCATAAAACCTCTCCTACCTTACTGCCACTCCATGAGGTGAAACCTGTTACCACAATTCTTGACAATATTTATGGAGGTACAATCATTGCATTTCCTGTGGGAGAAATACCACTACCAAAAAATAGGTCAAGTACAGTTTAAGCTATGTTTTTAATGCTTGATGTATTATTTGTATCACATGTGTAGCCAATCTTAATTTTGTTCTTGGGTTGGTACACAGTATGGATGTTGGTAATGTTGGTGATGTTTCATAAGTACATGTCTCTATATCTTCAGGGTGAAAGTGTGCATGATAGGTTTCTTTTTATATGTAAGATCCTGGTTAAAAAACAGCCAGGGGGAGGAGTTGGTACCTAATCTGGATCAGTAAAGCCAGAGGTCTGACTGGTGCTGCTTCTTCTGTTCTTCAACCATGGAGCCTGTCTCACCAATGCAGGTGGCCCCACATTCACATGGGATCTTGTGGTCTAGTTAAGCAATGTAGGACTTGACAAACACACTGCAAAGATTATTAAGAATTCTTATACGAGTATTCTGGGATATAATGGCATGAATGTAAACCAAGCAAGAAACCACCAGGAAGCAGGCAGTAAGCAAAGCTTTTCTTGACTTAAACTTCAACATGCAGGGAATATGTTCCTCCAAAATATCTGTTGACTTCCAAAGGACAGTGTGGTGTTATGTCCTAGGGACCAAAACTGTTCTCATTGTTCAACCTTGTGAACATTTGGATGGGTGACCACTCAGGAACAGCAGCTGTCAGGTTTCTGGTCAACTTCTGTTCCTTGAAAGGGCCAGTTCCACTGTCCCTATTGGCCCACACAAGGCAACCCTCATACTGTCATTTTTTAAAAAAGGATACAGAGGAACTCACCTATCTTACTCACTTTTTGACACTGAAGATGGAAGCAGCATGTACCTCTCAAGTACTGGCAACATCCCACATCCACATAATGTAAGAGCCCAAGCACAGAATTAATCCCAAAACAACAATCAACCACCACAAAAGCCTAAAATCAGTAACAGTAAGTAAGTTGATTCCTTCATTCCTTCCTTCCCCTCGGCACTATAGCTCAGGGTGAGCTTTGGCCTCCTGAAATATCTGTCTCCATTCTTCTCTATTCTTCATCTTTCCTCCCCATCCTTTCACTTTCATTTTATGGAGATCATCATGTATATCCTCCAACCATCCCAACCTGGGTCTTCCTATCTTCCTTGTCATATATATATGTATTAGAAGTTGATTACCAGCCAGCAATCAATCAACATCTTCATGTTGGACAAGAATCTTTGTTCTACTTACTTTTATTTAATATGGAAAACTGCAGACCTTATGTCCCTTCTCCATAACAATTCAGTTACAAAATGTATCCCTGCCCATCACATTACTACTATTCTTATTCTAATCAGGTCTCTCTACTACAAATGTTTGCCCTCATGAACATGAGACATACTTGGGTAAGTCTCTTTAAAGCTAGAAATATGAAGCCAACAGACAGCCGTTGCTAGGGAACAGCTCTGCAACCACACCTACTGCAAGAGACATGCACGCAACAATAGAAGAGCTGTTGGAAGCGGCGTTCTTTGTGCAGCCCATGCCAAGGCTATATAACAAGGGCCAGCTGCCATTATGGAAGAGTCCTGAGCTGGCAGTTAGGAGAGCATGATGTGGGTGTGAGATGGCCACCAGTCGGTTAGTCAGTCAGTCAAGACAGAGAGTCTGCAGGCAGGCAGTTGAGAGCTGCAGAAGCTGGTAGCTGAGGCCGGTGACAGTTCAGGAACCCGGAGGAAGGGGAACATCTGCCATTGGAAGCTGCTACCAGCCATTGCAATGAAGACTGTGACTGAGAACACTAGTTTGTGTGATAGTGATTTGTAAAGTGTAATCATGAGTTGTGTGTTTAAGAGTTCAATAAATCCGATTACCGATACAAACCCCATCTATAGTCACTCAAACATGTGACAGTATGTTAGATTTGTGGTTCTCACAGCAATGATTATGAACAGTGTTTGTTATTTTCTAGTATGTGACACAGTGTGGTCTGGTCAAAGCTTACTGACTTTTGGAAGAGCATACTGTCCTCATTTTTTTTTTTGCTAATGGGGTGGGACTGAGTCCCTTGTACTGTGGCCGCTTCTGGCCTGTTGTACCAGCCCCAGATGATAGGTGAGGGTGATTGTGGAACAATTGCTGGAATGAAGATTGGCAGGGGAAACCGAAGTACTCTGAGAAAACCTGCCCCAGTGCCACTTTGTCCACCACAAATCCCCAAATCCCACTTGACCAGACCCAGGACTGAACGTGGGCCGCCGCAGTGGGAAGCCAGCAACTAACTGCGTGAGCTATAGCGTGGCCCCACGTTCTCATCTTAGGGTCAAAGTGTAGATCAAGCAAGCAAAAGCAGAGTGACAGCACTATTCATACTGGAATAGCATAATGGACATGAGCACCAGTGGGTTGGTGGGTGGGATAAGCCAGGCTTCTGCCATAACCTTTTCCTTCGATTTCTGTGGAGGGGAACAAATAAAATTTCAGGGAAAAAAGAGAGACAGGGGAAGGAAATATACCAGATTTTTCTTTTATTGCTAGTGGGGTGGGACTAAGTCCCTTGCACTGCGGCCACTTCTGGCCTATTGTACCAGCCCCAGATGATAGGTCAGGGTGACTGTGGAGCAACTGGTGGAATGAAGATTGGCAGCGGAAACCGAAGTACTCGGAGAAAACCTGCCCCAGTGCCACTTTGTCCACCACAAATCCCCACATCCCACTTGACCAGACCCAGGACTGAACGTGGGCCGCCGCAGTGGGAAGCCAGCAACTAACTGCGTGAGCTATAACGTGGCCCCACGTTCTCATCTTAGGGTCAAAGTGTAGATCAAGCAAGCAAAAGCAGAGTGACAGCACTATTCATACTGGAATAGCATAATGGACATGAGCACCAGTGGGTTGGTGGGTGGGATAAGCCAGGCTTCTGCCATAACCTTTTCCTTCGATTTCTGTGGAGGGGAACAAATAAAATTTCAGGGAAAAAAGAGAGACAGGGGAAGGAAATATACCAGATTTTTCTTTTATTGCTAGTGGGGTGGGACTAAGTCCCTTGCACTGCGGCCACTTCTGGCCTATTGTACCAGCCCCAGATGATAGGTCAGGGTGACTGTGGAGCAACTGGTGGAATGAAGATTGGCAGCGGAAACCGAAGTACTCGGAGAAAACCTGCCCCAGCGCCACTTTGTCCACCACAAATCCCACTTGACCAGACCCGGGGTCAAACCCAGGCCACCATGGTGGGAAGCCAGTGACTGACTACTCGAGCTATGGCGTGGCCCCAACAGGAATATAAAACATGCACAGTATTCCATCTACTATCTATAAACAACTTTAAATATTTGAGTACTAAAAATAATGCTACAAATGATAATGAAATCCTTATTTAACATTCTGGCATCAACTGAGGAAGAGCTTTTTCTGACAACCACTTGGACAAGAATTATGCATATTTCACACTAAATGAGACAACAGTTTAAATCAATGTACTAGGTATTTTACTGTATTCAGAAATATGTAACATACAATTCATGTTCAAACAAAAAAAAATTGTACATAATATATATTGTGACAATTCAATGGCATATTGAGACTGTTGCAGGACATTCATCCATTTGGATGGCATTAGCTCAAAATTTTTACAACAAAAAAAAAAAAAAAACTTCACTTCTTATAAAAAGA